TTATTTTTTGAAATAATTTTTAAAAGCGAAATTAACCGAAAACCAAACCGAACCGAAATTTAATTCGATTAATTTCGGAATAAGTTTTAAAAATTTTGGTTAACCAAAAACCGACGGTTCGGTTCGATTTCAAAAAACCGAAATCGCAGCATTAACCAATTCCGTTGATATTTGGGACGGATCATTGTATTCTAATAATCGGTCATTAGCGATCTTTTAACATTAGCCTTACACAATCAAGATCAATTTATTAAATGACACTGCAAATAATAATATAGAGATATACAATGTGTACTATATGTAGTTATCATAAGGTTGTATATTTAGATATAATTTACAATCTACAAAAAGAAGTTGGTTTTAAAATCCAAAAAAATGTTAATGAACGAACTATAGCATGATCAATTTTTGCAAGACAAACAATTTCATTTTGTTTCTTTTATAAAAAAAAAAACGTAGGCCTTACTCTTGTAAGTTGCCATGAATCTAACAACTTTCATATCAAACATTTGGATCTTTTAGTTATCTCCAACCTCGTTCTTTGCTGCTTATTTAATAGGAAAAATTATTGTTGGTTACCTGAAATGAGCTATTAAAATCTTCAATGATCTTTTCTTTGTTGCTTATTTAATAATACTGAAAATGAGCTATCAAAATCTTATGATCCGACTTAGAGAGAATATTGAACATTCATTTGATACCATTGAAAATGTATAAAATCTTATTTCACTAATGATGTTTCCTATTCTACTAAAGCTAAGGTTTAGGATTTATGTATATATGCTGCCTAAATTCACGTATAAAATAAATAATTATAATTTAAAGAGAATAAGAAATTGTAAAAGCATCATCCACAGTTGATCAACAAAAAACAAATCTTAGAATATGATATTTCAGATTGAAGATAGCTAGAAGTTCAATCAATGAGCAGAAGAAGTATTGAAATTAAGTGAAGGAATTGAGGTAGATAGTTGCATATTATATCACACAGATTAAGATTAACACATGAATGAATTTGATTCTTGTGTTGTTTACTAATTTGTTTGTTTGCCTATTAGTCATATATATGGCTTTGATATTGAAAGTATCTCAGCACCACAAGGTACTTGTGTGGACTAATGTTTTTTTATTGTCAAAGTGAGATGATTATATATTTTAATTGTGTTTAACCAATATATATGCTATATTGTGTCTTTATTGTTGCAATATGTATGAGATATGTAAAATACTAGTCCTTGTTTGAGTATCTTCATCAATTTCTTTACAGTTTATCATTGTACCGTTTTAAGTGCATTTGATTTTTCTTATTCACCAGTTACATAAAGATTTGGTAACTGTTTCAAAACATTGATAAATAGAATAGAGAATATCAGTTGTATGGGATTCGATGCTACTGATGTGTCATGTAATAAAGGTGAATATACATTAGAAAAAAATTTATTTTTTTTCAATAGAAATAACATTCTTCTATATTTAGAGATGAAATAAATTTCAGTCACAAAAAAAAAGAGACGAAATAAACTTTATCCTTAATTTAATTAAGAAGAAAATAGCAAAATACACTTGAAAGAATGTGAAATGATAAACAAGTAAACAGGAGAAGAAATTAAGATATCAAAATATATTTCATACAAAGTGCTCTAAATTTTGTCTAGCACTTAAAGACCAATGAATTGGTGGGTTTCAAGATTTTCTTATCCACGATGTAAGAAGAAATTAGGATGATAAGGGAGGAGTCCCAACTTTGTTTGCCTTTATAGATGCATCAAATATAAGAGAGAGTGAAGTGGTAACACAAGAATGTAATCATACAACTTTTATACAACAGTTGAAGAAGTTTTAAATCAAGCCTCAACATTTCAGTAGTGCTATTGCCATGTAAAAATGCAAGAACCCAAAAGAAGACTGATGGGCAGGAATTAACACCGTCTACCGTAATCAGTTAAGCGCTGAAATCCTCGCCGGGATAAAGCCATCTAATGAATTCCCGCTCAAGTTTAAAGCAATGTCTAAATCTCCTTTGTCAAAAATTTCCTCTGGTATGGTTCCAGAGATGTTTATTGAATAAGTTCTTGCTAAGAATGAGCTGACCAAGACTATCATGAATCTTACTAGTCAAGTCATTTAGATAGAAGTCAATTAAGATTTCGGAGATGGTTCCGGAGAAAGAGTTCATAGAGAGATCAGCGGCGTTTAAGATTTCCATGAATCCACTCTCTTCAGGGATGGCTACATGAAAGATCATTCTGCCTTTAGGTTTTGAAGTTGCCTAGTTGTCGTGGAAGCGTGTCGAACAAGTCACTATCGTATTGAAACAGATTGATAAGCCCAATATGGAGTTTCCAAGCTCACCAATGATTATAATTGGATTGTCTTAGTGAGCGCTGTCACTAAGACAAATGTGGGAGTCTATTCGATGAGTGAAATACCCCTATCCTGAACCCAATGCTATATATGTCTATGACAAGCATAAAGCAGCGACTTTGTTCCCAATTAATGTTTACTAGATGTTTTGCCCGCACTTGCAGGCTTACTAATTTTCTAATATCTATAAATAAATATAATCAATTTAAGTAAATTATAATAAATTATAGTTCATACACTCAAAATATTTAATAATAATCTAAACAAATTCTTTCTATATATAAAATTTTTCATCATCATATAAATAATTGTCATCACAAATATTAATTGTGAAAATACTCATAAATTAAAAATATTTATTAATAAATTAATATCATTTTAGACATAACAAAAAAATATAATAAAATTATCTTTAGTAATGTAAACTATGTATACATAAATTCTTTGCAAATTAATTTTTTCATAATTAAATATATATTAACAAACATAATTATTTTTTAAGGTTAATAAAGACTTATAACACAATAAAAAAAATTAGATAATTATAATTATCAAATTCATGAAATTCGTTTTTAATTTAGAATTAATTATAGATTAACAAATATAATTATTTTAAATTTAATTATTTTTCAATGTTGATAAAGACATAATATAAAAAAATAAATAAGGATGATTATCAAATAAATGAAACTCGTTTTTAATTTATAATTAATGATATATTACTAAAAATATAATTATATTTCAAGGTTAAAAAAGATTTTATAATCCAATATAAAATAGTTTTAGATAAAGATAAATCAAAAATCATTGAAATTCGTTTTTTACTTATGTTTAATTATATATTAAAAATTTTAATTATTATATAGTAATAAATATTTTTTTTGGTAAAATAGTAATAACTATTAATCATTATATAGTAATAAATCTAATTAGTCATTAAGTTTATGTTTGCTTTGTCATTAAGGGTAGTAAAAATCATAAGAACATGACAATTAGATTTACTATCCTTAATGACAAAGCAAACATAAACTTAATAACTAATTTAGATTTATTACTATATAATGAATAATTAGATTTATTATAATCATTAGTCTAGATAATGATAATCATCAAATCATAAGAAACATGACAAATAAGATATGTTTCTAATTATTATATAGTAATAGATCTAATTAGTCATTATATAGTAATAAATCTAATTAGTCATTAAGTTTATGTTTGCTTTGTCATTAAGGGTAGTAAATCTAATTAATATACGGTTCATAATTATATAATAATAATTTTAATTAGTCATTAATTAAGGATAATAATTAATCATTAGTCAAAATCATAAAGACATGATAAATAAGTATAATTACACAAAATTATGGAGAATATGATAAATCAGAAAATTCACTTTTTTAAATATAATTAATTTATTGTTACTTATATATTAATTCAATTTTAGTTTATGGTTTATTAATATCAACTATTTTTAGATAATAATAGTCATCAAATCAGTGAAATTTGTTTCTAATTTGTGGTTGATTATATATTAATTAAATATATTTTTCTGATAACAACACAATATATAGGAATTATCTTTTATTTTATTTTTAAATATATATTTTGATTATGGATAATTCTTATCATTATTATTAATTTAAATCATTTATCTAATCAAATAAATATAAATTCGTTTTTTTGGTTGATTTATATATTTTATTCAATAAGGGTATAAACAATATTAAACACTCCAACTTTTAACGTGGGAGTTCCGTTTCAAAAAATCACTTCGCAAATTTAAATCATTTAGCTAATCAAATAAATATAAATTCGTTTTTTATTTTTGGCTGATTTATATATTTTATTCATTAAGGGTATAAACAATATTAACCACTTGAATTTTTAACGTGGGAGCTCCGTTGCAAAAAATCACTTCGCAAATAATAATGGTAACATATTTTCATATTGCGTGGATCTCTACAATAAGCATTTGTATAAACTACTGTACGTATTTTTTAGGAAACTGTATTAATATCTTTTGTTATAGAGAAGACCTACGTTTGCTGGTAAGAAGATTAAATAGTAGATGTTCTCTTATTTTATTATAGTAGATTAAACCTTGCATAATGTCTGTTGACTTCATTGTGAAAATTATTTACATGATCCTTAAAAAAAAGTTTAAGCAAAAAAAAAGTGTATGCTTTTTTTGTTAAAGTTTTTTTTTAACTTTACAGTTACCTTTTAACTTTAACAAAAATTTTAACTGATTAATCCTATTTGATAAAAGATTTTATAATTAAACAACCATAATAAGTAACACTTGTCTTTATATAATAAGATAGAAAATAAAGACATGTTAATCAATTTTCTTATTTTTTGTATTAATATTTTATATATTTTTTTAAAATGTGCCCGTGCATGGGACGCTACTGTACTAATATAAATATACAGTACATCACTTTTCTTTCTTCTTCAAAGCTTCCGATCTTTCCTTTCTTTCTGGTAATTAAGTACATCACTTTCTCCCTCTCTCGACGACGCGATCTATGTTTGAGTTTCTGTGTATGTAGTCCGTTGATTTGTGGGATCTATGTTTCTGTCCATCTATTGATATCAAGTTTTGATTTCAGCGGAGCAGGATTCGATCAATCATGTCTTCTTCTGGTACTCCAGTTCAAGATAGCCAGCGGTTCATCATTGGGCAGATGGATTACTGGGATCAAGTGAGTGAATCAGGGGTAAATCTTCTTCTTCTTCTTCTTCAGTTTATATGTGTATTTTTCATTAGGAACCAACGGAAGTGAGACTTTTTTTCTTAGGGTTTTGATATCGAGCATATCTCAGCACCTCAATGCGGACTCGTGTCTTTTGATTGTGAAAACAAGAGGATTAGGTATCCTAATAGATTGTTGGTCAATCTTTACGCTAGACTCGGTCTCCATCGTTACAACCTCACTAAGGTAAATAATAAGCTCAGTTTCTTTTCAATATTTTGATCAATTTCCTTCTTTTCTTTTCAATATTTTGATCAGTTTCCTTCTTTCTTGATTATGGATTATGATCATTGACGTATTTTGTATGCCAGGGAACAAATTTAAAGTTCGACCACTTGAAGAAGTTCAACATGACTATGAATTGTATCTCCTCGTACCGCATCAGTGCATCACTTTGGTCGCATCTGATCCAGCAACCGGTTCTCTCGTAACCTTTCTGGTTGGAGTCTCTGAGCAAATATATGCTAGTTTGGATTTGATGGTCTTCATTGCTAGACCTCAAGGTGATAAGCCTCGTCGCCAAGAACCAATTAGGCCAATTGGTAAAAATTGAACTAAATTCCTTCTCTTTTTCTTATAATTATTAATGTCTTGTATAAAAACTCTAACTTGTTTATTATCAATGTATGTTGCAAAGCTTCCACCGTTGATCCCTTGGATGCATGTGATGACAGAGGATTACCTTTCTGGCCGACCGATTTTGCAGATACATCACGTTTCTATTTGGTACTCAATATCACTTCTTTCTTCTCTCACTTTTTTAAAAAATAAAAAAATGGCCTTTTGTTAGTCACTGATATGGTTTATTGCTTTTGCAGCTGAAAGAATCAGAGTTGCAGGGCAACGAGTGGATTCGTCTATACTTGGAACTTTCTCTTTGTTCAAATGATAGGAATATTCCAGAAGTAAGTTTCTTCTTTTCATCCATATATAGCCAACAACGAATGAATGTTAGCTAATATTTCTGTGTTTTTTTTGTTTTTGTTTTGCAGAGCCATGTATCACAGCTACAGATTGTGAGCGTTGCAATGGAAAAAACTATTAAACATTTCACAAGTACCATTTTCTACATAACATTTAAAGGCTTGCCTGTGGCTCGGGTTGGTGAGGAAGGTGAACATGTTGAGCGCAAAGTCATAATTAGAGAGTATGAGGATCTATCTACCGGATACTACACTCTCATGGGTGGGTTTGGGTTCTCGGTTGGTGAAGACACTAGTCATCGCCGTATGACTCGCCTTGGGACTGGGAGCATTGAAGAAATGTACGCTGAGAAGAAGAGGCTGCACCCTACGACTCCCCCATGTCCAGCCATCCCCATTGCTGATTACTGGAAAAGCTAGATCATTGACCTCCTCTAGAGAGTAATAATAACTTTTGTGCTGTTTTTTTTAAGACTATAATAATAATTTGAACCCTTATGTTGTATCTCGTGCTTGACTTTATCTGACAATGAGGGATTTGTAACTCCCTCGTGTCTTTGTTTTCTCATTCTTGAATCATTTCTCTTGTCACACTTGTCTCTATGAGATGGTTCATGAACTTAATCTTTAGTTTCGTTCACATGAGAGTAAACTTATTTTTGCTAACATTTTCCTAATTTTTTTACATATTTTTGCCAAATATTTATTCACTATATTATTTGACTTAAATGCAAAACATTTTAATCAAAGTTCTCACATATTTTGTTAAATATATTATGTCTAATCTTCAAAGTCTTACTATTTATAAAGCATACATTGTAAGGGATTAATAATATTATAGATACAACTATATTTTTTATATTTTTTATATGAAATTTTGCTATAAATTGTTTTATATTCATTTGTATGTAGTCTCTATAATATTATTTGAGAAGTCAGTTTCCTACGTGTCGCGTTCACGTTAACTCTGGCGATGGTTGATTACACAGATACCCTTAATGAATTGTTAGATTTTAAGATTATTATTAATTTTTTATTTAGTTTTCTTTTTATCCTTTTCCAAATAACATATAAAATAAAAAGGAAATATTTCTAAAATTTTAAAACAAATTTAAAAACGAAAATATATGTATATAATATGACTTTATTAAAAAGGAAAGTTCACAAAATAGTAATACCCACATTAATATATATTTTTAAATAACATAAAATATATTTTCAAAATAATAAAATATATATGTTCATGAGCATTCAAAAATTTATCAGTAACACTTTATTTTCTAATATTTTTTAGAAATCAACATATAATATGATAAATATTATGAAAATACATATATACTTAAGCGATATATAAACTAATTTGACTTAACTAAAATAAAGAGTAAATAAATATTATGAAAATACATGTATTTAAGCGATAATTAAAACTAATTTAATTTGACTTAACTAAAATAAAAAATAATTATACTTCAGTTTTAATTAAAAAATATATTTAACTCAATATACTCACAAAATGAATGACTCGACTAATCTAATTTATATCCAAAATTGAACATCTAACTACAATAAGAATAATAATAATAATCTATTTAATTTTATGCATATAAATTAGAGGTTGACTCAAAGCATATTAAAAAAAAAAGAAATTATTAACCAATTACAATTTAATTATTTTGTAGAATTTATATATATGCATGAGACTTCAAAATATTATCATTATATTCATTTATGTAATTTTGAATCAAACACTTCAACTTATTATTTATTTTATTTTAAGCACAATATATATTAAGTTATACATAATTTAACTATAATATATTTACATATCTAAGAATATATTTACATATCTAATACAACAACCAACCGAAATGAAAATAAGAAATTAATCAAAGTTTTATTATATTTAGAATTAAAATATTATCGCTGAATTCGAAAAATAGATATTATCCAATATACTGAATTGATAACCATACCGACTATTGATCCAAAAAATAATTAAACCGATAATAATATATCCAAAGTCATATGTATAGAATAATATAATATTTATTAATATAAATTATACATACAAATTTATTCAAAATTAAAACTAAATATCAATCAATTATTATAAAATGTTACTTTTATGAATGTTCATACCCGTGCATGAGCACGGGAAATCACCTAGTATATAAATATAAAAAGAAATAATCAAACATTATTACACTTTCTAGAATTTTAAAAATTAGCTACCATTAATTTTATAATCGTTTTTATACTATGAAGATTTTAAACTCATGTAAATATCTATAAACTCATTTTATGATCATTAATAGTTATTATAATGTCTTTGTATCAAAATTATATGTTTTATCAATGTATATGATGAGTAATATAAGAAAAGAAAGCTACTTTTACCACTGTTTATAATAGAAAAATAAAGTTAGTAAATTAGTTTACTAACTACTTTTTAAAAATATACTTTATATAATTTATAAATAGACTATTAGTGAATTTATATAAATGAATAAGTATTACATAAAAAATTATATTTTATACAGTTGAATATTATAAATGATAATGCATAAGATTATATAGATTTTTTACAACTAACATTAACTGGATCTTGGATTGTCTCTTTTACATTTGATGAAAATAAATAAAAATTAAAAATCGTCAACCAATCAAATTATAACAATTTTTTAAAAAAATTACATATGATTGACAAGCAAAATCACTTAAGGGACTTCTCAATTAATATATAGTAGGATAACTAGGTTTAGTTCTGGTAAAGATAAAATTAGTAAACAATAATAAACTGAGTGATGATGGATGAATAGATTGATTTTATCAGTTTAATGTATCTTATATAAAGAAAATAAAAACCATATTTACTAGAATTTGAATACTTAGATATAAAATAGTATTTTTTATATACAAAACAATTAGGAGGAGATCCAATTGAACAATGGGATCTTCTGACTTATATCTTCAGAGGTGATTCCGCTGATGAAAACTGCAGAAGTTGGAGATGGCCGGATTCAGTGGAGAAGATTTAATCGTTGGACAGGGAGGAACGATGGAGCACAGTTTAAGGTTTGTGGATTTAGAGAGGTCGCAGTAGCCAACAGATAAAGGTCAAAGAGAGAGAGAGAGAGAGAGAGAGAGAGAGAGAGAGAGAGAGAGAGAGAGAGAGAGAGAGAGAGAGAGAG